GTGATTTGCTCGAGGACTCAATAACTCCTTACTGTGGCCTCCCCGATATTCTTATGAACGTGAGATAACAGTCCCTCTTTCTGTAAAAACCGCATGCATTGTGCGGGGACGGTGCAAGATGTAGCACGCGTAGGTAGTCCGTTTCGTGTTGTCAGCTCCGATCATCTTCACGGTGCCTTGCCATCAGAGCCTGGCTGGTAGGGGAGAAGATATCGCGGCAGATGCCGCGAAAGCCTGCTTCACGATAAACTACTCTACGGACGCTAATATCATACTGTGAATGAGAACCAGGGACCTTAACCGATAGAAGGTTAAATACCTTAGTTTGGTTTATGAGATTCGGAACCTTACCTACGTATCTGAAAATATGTTTTCCGCATTCCGATGGTAAACAACATGTTTCGTAAATTGGTCAATTGACTTGCGGTCTTATGATCCGTGAGTCAGTTTGAAATTTCGACAAAAAAATATTTGGTTCGCAGTCCTTTCAGTGCCGGATTCTAAACGCCTCAAACATCAAAATCGAATCTGGAGTAGGAAGAAGTATAAACCAATTGGTTTTAAGTAGCGGGCCGCATCAGTGGATCATGCCAACTCAAATAACCAACCTAGACCACCTCCCTTACATATGGAAATTATTAAACTAAGTCTAGAATAATCCAGGCACATGGCCTTAAATGTAAAACGGAGGAACTACAAACATAAGAAAGAACCAATATTGTAATGGTGTATGAATAGCATCAGATAAGTAATTACCTCCTTCTTGGCACCTGGCTGTTCATAGTTTCCCTGCAAAACATCGGCTGTGAACATTTCCGCCAGTACAGAATTTACTTGTTCTAAAACTCGTAGGAGTCGGTCATAGACTTCAAGCGGAGAGAGCCGCAGTTCCAGGAAAAGTCGGTCAATCTTATTCAGCAAAAGAACAAGAGCAAGGCGCTCATTCCAGGCTTGACGCAGCACGGCCCTAGTCTGAATGAGGAAAACGGAATTTTTACTCATCCGTTGCGGGGGGAGGAGACGGAGAAGCAGCACTAACAGAACGAGAGCCAACCTGGGGACAAACACCTTCCACTACATCCACAACGATAATGGCTCCATCGCAGAGTCGCACGGCTGTTGAAACGTCGGAGGCGAAGTCCACGTGCCCTGGTGAATCGATCAAGTTGATAAGATAAGACTTTGGGTGGGCTGCGGCGTCTGCCACCACTAGGCCACGTCCTAGATTCATCTCGGGATTGTAAAACAAGGAGGCACTGCTTGACTTCATAGTAATGCCACGTTCTTGTTCTGACTCCGTACTGTCCATAAATCGCAGTTTTCCGGCTTGGCGAAAGGATATTATACCATTTGTAGCCAGAAGAGCGTCTGCTAGAGAAGTTTTGCCTGAAGTGCAGGAAACAGAGAATTATTAGTCACGGATAAGATGAAATGGAAAC